GCGTAATCATGCTCCTACCGGACAAAAAGAACCGCCGAGATAAATATCTGAAACGTGTTGCACAAAACTTTTAATGAATTAGAAAGACAAGTTAATCCATCGTCGCCGTCGCCCGGGTGCGTCGCGGGTGACGCATTAAAAACGCTTATTCAGCACTTCTGAAAACCTGTGATGTAGCGCGACGGTAACAATGACGCAGTGTTTCGCCCTTATTCCTTCCGTTCTTGCCCATATGTTTTTTCTTCCGACCGCGATATCGCGATATATAAAACTCGAAATTGTAAGCGATCGCGTTAAATTCTTGCGCGTCGATATTTTCTAGCTCGCGTGAGATGAAGATATCGACGCGCCGCGCGTTAACGGGGCCTGGTAATTGCCGATGGGGGACCATGGAAAAAAAAGGAAAGCGTTAAGCACATACTAAACCGGCGGATTAATAAATCGGTTATGAACGGTTACGAGCATGGGTGTGGAACATCGTTGCGGCAGAGACAGAGACATTGAATAATTCCGATCTATTAATCGGCTATATATTTTTGCCGGCCATTGTGGCGAACGGATTGTTTATCTTCGAACCGCCTCTCGCTCGGCTGTATCTTCGCGCTGATTTCGCTGCGCTAACAGGTTCCACGGTCAGTCGGAGACGGCAAATTAGCCGGCCGGACGGCGCGCGGGGTTGGGAAGAGAGAGAGAGAAGGAGCAGAGGCAGATGCGGGATTCTTGGCAGGGTCAAACCCCCCGGCTATCTTCTGCTGCCGCTTATACCTCGCTCCGATCTCCACCGCCCCGCTTCCGTTGCCCGCTGCTCCCAGTCCTCTTTCTCTCTTTCCTCCCTTCCCTGTTCCCCCCCCTTCCCCTCTCGTGGCAAAAAATCAGCGTGTATGCGCACACAGAAACCCGTGTGGAATAAGAGGGCGAGGTAGATTGAGGAGGTTGAAGGGGTGGGGTTTATATACGCACAGGTCGGCAGGTAGGAAAGATACGCGCGCGGCAACCGGTTCTCTCTCCCCTTTTGCGCCTCCGCAGACTCCGATGGGTACAGGTTCCCCGAACCGGTCCAGGCCGGATCGCGTGTTGCTCGCGTGGCCGGACGCAGCCGAGGACCGGCGGAAGCGTCCGAGTTCCAGCATTACACACAAATTGCGCCATTACGTGTAATGGGGCTAGAAAAAAATGAGCGGATAGATCGTGCCGGATGATGATGGCCGGGGAAGCTGGCCGCGCGGATGATCGCGGGAACGAAGATGCACGCGCGCGCGCGCGCGCGCGTTACACTAGATTTCGCAAATTGGTTCCGAGTCGCCAGTCCGAATTCGACACGATAGAGAGAGAATTTTGACACTGTTTCTTTGCAATTCCACGTTCAATTGAAACGGATGTTCGACTGTCTCTCGGTACGCGTATACCGATTGGATCCGCCATCAATCCGATTCTCTGTCCATGATCGTTACGGATTACAGATATCCCATGCAGCGCTTATTGATTTCAGCCGTTCGCAGAAACACACGCGCGTATTCCCACACCTGCCTACGTGCGCGGAATTTAAAGGAAATTAGCTTTGTCGAATTTTCTCTTTTTTCTTTCTTCAAGCATAATACGAGAAGCGCGCGGCGCGGCGCGGCGGCAGCCTCGGCAGCGTACCGTCCGCGGCCGGCGCCTCACCATAATTTTCTTCAATATAGTGCTATATCCTCTCGCTGATGTATTGTAACCGGTATCCTATCGAATCAAGCAGGTGGCTCGACGGGCTCCCTTATATTTTGACGATTAGTTCTGGACCCCAGCTTCTTCTCGAAGGACGGACTCCGCTCACAACACCTTTCTCTCAGCCAGGGCCGCAGCTTTGCCTATTTCCTCGCAAATGAGTACCGCGAAGATACTAGAAATACATTTTGTATTCGGGAGAATAATGCGAAAAATAAGTCGCGAAAAAACTAGCTTGTTCCCTTTCGTTAAACTTCGAGTTTTAATTGTCGACCCTGTTCTAACGTTAAAAACTTTCTGTAACTTACTAATTGTATCACTCTTCCCTTTAGCCTGCGTTAATTATAAGATATACCACCACCAATTAAGACACTACATCGTTGAATAATTCCGTAGTTTGTCTAAATTTTAATACTTTTCGCGCGAATGCAGTACTGCAATAGAAAAAATAGATCACCGGAAAATAATACGAGGTAGGTATACTCGATAATTAGAGATCGCTTCTTCTATGTGACGCCTTGTATCATTTTAAAGATATTTAATAGATATTTAGATATTTTCCCAGTATCAAATACCAGGGAATAAAAAGGCTAAAATTCTATATGCATTATACACTGTTAAAATATTGAAGGTTGAAATTTAAACCAATCTCTTGAGTTAAATAACGTTTTGTTATTTTAACTACCACGTGTATTGAAATTTATTACTTTAACACAAAACAATATTAGTTTAACTTTTCATTGGTTTAGTTAAATTAACAGTCATATTTTAAGTCAAATTAACGTCATATTGAATAGAAGCAGTGGCGAACCTAACAGGAATGGTTAAAAATGATTCAAATTGAGTATAATTGACACTCCGAATTTAACAGTGTACGAAAATATCTAAATATCAATTAAATATCTTTAAAATGATACAGACGTCACATAAAAAAAGCTAAGCGATCTCTAATTCTCTCGAGTACCTATACCTTGTACTATTTTCCGGTGATTTATTTTTTCTGTATTACAGTATTGCACTCGCGCAAAAAATATTAAAATTTAGACAATGCTGTCTCAAGCGTTACTTTGTTACATTGTTAATTTACGACTTTTAACGTCAAGTGAATATATTGTACACACATATATCCACGTAGCCTTCAATATACAATGTAATAATGAAAAGAATAAAAGACGCGTAAACTCTGTATTAACATTAAAGAAGATGCACGCCGAAGTATCTCCTTTAAAACGCCTCTAAAGTACCTCAACTTTCTCATTTTCTTCATCTCAACTCCTCGTCCCCTAAATTAACTATAAAAAAGAAATAATTGCAATCCGTGCGAAAGAGGCGTTAATGGAACCAACATCTCGTAAAAGTATCCCGTTTCCACAAAGGTTTTACAATAGAACAATGGGTTCTCCTCGAAGGTACCCCGCGGAGGAAGCGCGAAGAAATTGAGCCAGGCTAATGGATAACGAATAAGATTCTTCGCCGCGATGTTGATCGAGAGAGGATCATCGGATCCGCTCTTCGTGGAACCCTTTCTACCGCCGGCTGCGTCCCTGGGGGATCGAGACAGCCGGTCATCCTGGTTGCCGCGTTGGCCGCCGGGTCGGCCGGACCCCGACGTCGACGGCGTAGCTTGCGCGTGCACTTGCCGCGAGGGAAAGGTGGATGGCCGCGACCTTGATGCGCGTGGTTCTCGCGTGCCCGAACCTACACGAGCCTCCGCGAGGACGGCCGAAGCGGGCACGACCGGCCGACCACGACCAACGCCTGGTACACGGTTGTTAAATTATATCTCCGCGCTCTCTTCCAGCATCTTCCCCCAGCCTCTCTCACTCCTTCTCTTTTCCCCCTTTCGGACTTGTGTTTCTTCAGCGTCCCGTCCCTTCAGCTTCCTATCCTCTTCTCCACGCGTCGCGCGCCTCATCTCCTTTTTCTCGACTCTTCACGCACTCGCGCGCGCACACACACGCGCACTCGCGTGCTCGTGCATGAGATCTCACGGAAGCTGGAATGACTATCGCTACACTCGGTTCTCGAGCCCCGGCTAGTTCTACGATGGGACCGGTATCTCAACTTAACCGACCAGTCATCCGGGGCAGCCAGTGTCTCTCAACGCGTCACCGACGCGTCCGAATATTATGAATTACGCCCGCGGCTTACCCTGAAGATTATCCGAAAACACGACGCTTGTCGAGATCCCTTAGGCACCACGCTGATACAATCGACTTTCCGTGACCACGACACGTCCCATGAAACCCGCATCAAGTTGTACAAGATTGTCGGCGGATGCTTTGCATCTTCGAAAAGAATAATCGCGAACATTTGCATGTATTAGCAATCTCGAATATCTTCCAATTATCAGACGATTACTTCCTAAAATGTATCTAGAAATGAAGAAATAAAGAATTGAAGAAATGAAGAAATAGAGAATTAACGAAACGAGGAAATGTATTCGTTTTAGGAAAGACATTTATAATGCTTAAAGCCATTTAATATATGCATACGTAGAAAAATCAATTAAATTCAGAGTTTTTAGAATATTACAGAATACTATGAAAATGCAGATATATAGATCCTTTTTTATGTACTTATTATATAACGATATCTTTCCTTTGCAAAGTTTATTAAAATACAATGACAGCATTTGGATGCTAATATTAAATTCATTTATCGTAGATTTCTACGAAAATAAAATTTTGAATTGTTTTGAAACTTGGATTATAATTTTTCAATGAAATGCCACGACTTGATGTCATCAGTGTCTTATTGTTCTCTAATGAAATCTTTCTTCCAGAAAGATAAATGAATCTTGCCGGCACGACTCCGTTGTATTGTGGGTTGCCAGATTCAGGGGTCCATAAAACTTTTTTGACGCTCCATAGCATGGGAAACAAGGTTCTTCCGATCGTATGTCCCTAATTGAAATAAGCTAAACCAAAGTACGTTATCCGAATGAGCAATATAATTAAGAGAAATTTCTTGAAATAAATAAAAAACTCAGACGCTCGATTTAATAATTCTCGATGATTCTTAGAGCCGAATACAAAAGCACAAAAGGTTTGCATAAAAAATAATTGAAATCGAAGTAGCGTATCAAGTACAATTTCTTGAAGTACTCTGCCGAAGCGCTAGAGCAAAGGACGGTAACAAAAACTTGCCGTCCTTGAATTCCATCGGGACGCATATGCAGCTGTAACATATTTTGATGCAGGATCGACATATTCATGGATGCTCAGAAAGCATTTCTAAAATTATATCGAGTAGTATCGTATGGGTTTAAAAAGGTACTATAGATACAATGCGTGTAGAAAATAAGAAAATATATATATATATTTCAATTTCAATTCTTTCCTTCCCTTATTAGTATTTCTCGATAATTATAAATTACTTATAGTTAACTATTTGTAAAATGCATTCTTATATTACATAGACTTAATCACATTTCTAAGCGTAATAAATTATTTAACCAACGCTCCACTCGATGACTCAGCTATTAGTGTGGAAATTTCCTGGATATAGCTCGGTTCTCCCTTAACAAGTTTTTCTCCTTCTATACTCTTCTCCTCACTTTTGAGGTCTGTTACGGACAATGTATCTTCTTGAGATGATGTATCGTATGGGTCTGACGCTTTAAAGGATAATTTTTTTTTTTTAATAATTCTGATGCATCACGTCGTATGTTAAAATAAACTCAACATATTACAAAATAACTTACAATCGCTCTTAAGATCATTATCTTCTTCTACCTCGCCCTTTTCATAACTGAAATTCTCATCCGTATTTTCCTCTTCAGTTCCAAAGTGTATGTATGACAGCGTACACACAAGCATTATGAAAAACAAGTTTGTACCAATACCAACACAGGCTGATAGAATTGGCCAATAAAACATCCAGTAACGTAATCCCGATAAGTTGGCATTTATCATAAGATTAGCAGAATAGAATTCTATATGTCGTGATTGAATCTCGATAAAGATAATTGTTACCGGATGACTCTGGAATATTTAAAATTACATTCCAGTATTAGATATTTCTTATAAAATATTTCTTATAAACTAATTGTATAAAATAATTGTATAAAAAATCCTACACGGAAGAAAAATGATGTTGTATCAACAGCATCATTTTTTGTATCAACAGCATCAGTGTTATCGAGATAAAATTTATTGATGCAACATTGACATTAATGAATAAAAAACATCAGATAATTGTTTTAATAATTTAAATATTTGGTCCAATAATATCCAATTGAATTAACTATTTATGCTTGTGGCAGCCCGTGACGTTGACGTTTAATTGAAACAACTTCATTTTTTTTTCCGTGTACTAAAATCCTTACCTGATCCTCTTCAAAGTTGCCAAACAATTCTAGACCAATGTCCTGCTTCTCTTCAGCGTTTCCGAATATCATCATAGGTGAAAACGTGAGAGTTGTAAGCGTGTGTAACAGTGTGCTGCGATAATGCAACATAGCTGATTTACACGTATGGTCCACCAGGTATCCATCGCGGCTCCGCAATTGCGCGCAAACCATAAACATACCTTGAGAGAAAATTAACTAGCTATAGAACACGATTGAACATTCTTAAAATCAGCAATCACACAATCAGGTTTACCGAGCTCTTTGTTCGCCGGCGATTCTGGCATTTCCAGATGTAAATTTACTTTGTATGGCTGCCCTACCATCAGAAGCTGTTGTTTCTTGGTCAACTGCACATGAGCCTGCGGAAAGCTACAAATTCCCTTCTGCTCGTCGCACGATCTAAATAAATATTAATAACAAAATTTAAATACCATTAAATCCAATTATTATTTAACATAATTCGACTGAATTGTTATCATTATCTTCCATAGGCAAACATTGGATGTCACTAGACACTCAGCTATTATTATTATTATTTCATTAACTATTAATATTTCATTAATATTATTATCGTGAAAATTCAGTAGTGAACTTTGTTCACAATCCTTAGACCTTGACATCCTCGAAAAGTATCTAACAATAAGTATTGTCGTTGTCATACTTTAGAATTAACACACAAAATGCGGAACCGTAAGTGGAACTTACTTGAATTGTAAATGCACGGGACGTACGTACGACATGCTGGGCATGTAGGAATAGTAAAAAACCGTGTAAAGAAATATGGATAGCCATACTATGAAGATGGTGCTAATGACAACAACACCACCGCGGAAAACCGTGTCTCTGGCGGATTCCACACTCCGCCTGGTGGTTTTCCGAAAGTTAAACCACTTTTTACCAATCTCGCCCAGCAATCGCGTGATTAACATTTTGCACGATTATTTCTAAAACCGCGCAACAAGATTTTATTTTTGGAGGACGTCAATTGTGCGTTCGATGACCAATGTTACATAACGACGATTAAGCTCCGATTAAATCTCGTTAAATTCTTGTTATAATTTCACTGTTGCTTTAATGCGCGCATCAACTGAATATATTTATAATCGAAAAACTTTCAGGTACGATCACGCGAGATGAGACTCTGAAGAACGAGCGACATCGACTCGTGCGACTTGTGTATACGCATCGCCGGGTGATAACAGGCCGAGTATCTCCGAAGCTATGTGGATATCAACAAGGTGTTTTTTCATCTCCAACGTGCTCCGAAAGGTTATGTATAAATGAATGTAAACATGATACGAAAACGTGAATCGCATCGACATATGGTGCGATCCTGTAGATGTCGAGAATTTCTCCGTCGAGCCTTCTGATTCTTCCTTTTTGGAAAGGAACGGTCTCTCTAGATGGCGTCAGTACTTTATACGTCTCGACACGGCAATTATGCTAAAATAACGAAAAAAAAAAGAAATTTGCAACACGTAGAGCTTGCGAAACTCGGAATTTTGACTTGTACGTACCTCTCATCGCGTTATATTTCTCTGATACTTTATTAATTTACCAGTTTGGGTCTTTGTAATTCAAATCTTCAAGCATAAAATTCTAAGGAATTCGTAGAATCATCAATCATGAGATTTGTTTTAGTGCCACCTCTTATCTAATTATATTCTCCTAATACTTTGTCGATTTTTGAAAATTTGAATTTTATTGAAAGGTTTTCTAATTTACGAAAGACTGATGCCGATCCGATAAGTTATTTATATTCGGTAATGTTCCTGCCAACTTTGCCAACCGTAAATAAATCAAACCTGCTAGAGTTACCGACGTCAAGAAATTCTCCAGCGAGATATAACGTAGTTTTGATAAATGTACCATATATAAGTACCATGTATAAGTTTAATTAACTTTGCTAATTAAGATTAATATATCCGTTATACATTCGCAAAGAAAATTTTTTTGGGTCGTAGACTCGTCAATTTACTTGCTAAATGATGTTCCAATATCGAAAATTTAACTACTAAATTTAAATACTTAAGTCGCAACTCACTTCAATTTGATTTAATAACTGAACGTTTGACGAAATGTATTCCTCTAACAACTTTGACGAGATTTTTCAAGAGTCATATTTTGAAATTGGTTTCGGAGGTACTTTTATCGATATTTGAAGCCGTTTAGACGACGTTATTACGTCTATTATAAATTTTACGGTTACTTTCATTAATTTATGATATCCAATTGTGTATTATTTGATCAAAGAAAGGGAATTTGTCTCGAAGCGCTGTATTTGAGAACAGGAAATCTTACGTATTTCTTTATTTTTCTCTTCTTACAAAGTTTATTTAGCCAAGTTACTCCACACATTTTAACTTAAAATTTAAGACAAAATTAATTTGTTTTATTGAGAAGTAGTAGAGAAGTAGGTTGCAGAACAAAATGGTTTGCCCTGATAATATTTTGGAATTCTATTCACAAGAGATCTTTATTTAGGTTTCTCTGACACATTTATTTTAAATTTCTTAAAAAAGGACTTGAAAAATCCTTCATTCTTCTTGATGCACACATTTAATTTCAATTGATGAAAAAGAAAGGAATACGGAGGATAAGGAGCAGATAGCATCTCTTTGGAGTCAAGGACGCGATTATCTGCGAGAAGTCACGCATGAGAATTAGAAAGCGGTAATGACGCCACGCGATTGTATCTTTATTTAACTGTACATCATACGATAAGTGTCTTACGCTATTTGTTACATTATGCACCAACCAACTAACGTTATTTTTTTTTAACGTAAGATTGGGCATCAGCCGTCATCGCCGTTGTGACAATTTTTTAGATCCTCGATAGTGTCCGACATAATTTTGGGACTCGTCATATTGTCAGGCGAATAATTACGAAACAGCGCTTCCTCCTCCCGGAAATATTTCTGCAATTGATCCAACTTCATGCAGTGCGCTTCTGCAAATTAAAACGATCAATATTAATTATTTGTCGGTTTGCGACCGACAAAGTTAGTTCTAATAATAAACCGAATTCTTTTATGCAGTAAAACATGTCGTTGCCGATATATCGGTGCTATTTGCCATTGCGCAATATGTACTTACTATGAAGATTTGCAACACAGTCCAATTCCCCACCAAAGTCCTTCGGTAGACACTCGGGCGGTACATGTGGATACACGTCGGAGACGTCACCCGTGTAAAGATGAAGCTACGGAGTGACGAAAGTTAAAATCAACCGCTGGCGTGACCGCCTGCCGGATGCACGAGGCCAGAAATGTCAACGTATCCTCTTAATGTCAGTGCGCAGAAATGTGTATTCATGGCACGTATGTAAACGCATGTATGAATCTAGTTTTCAACTCGTACAATCCCGATCGGTTCGAGTTTGATCAAAGCTAATTCACAAAGTTAAATTAAAAAAGTCGGCAGCCGCAAAAATTAGAATCTAGCGATTGCACCTCGTAGAGAATACGTTCATAATGCAGGATGATTTGTCAGATTTCATCATGTTGAATCACACTCCGTTGGGAAATCAAATTACCATTTCGTAAAGCTCTCGCTTCATGAACGGCCTGATGAGCGCAAGCACCTTGTCCATGAACCAGACCGCGTTCAGCACGTGCATGGCTTTGAGCCTCACCGGCATGCCTTCTTGAAGGTACTCGAAGAACTTGCGGATGCTGTTTATCGACAGTCTGGTCAGGTGACCAAGTCGCACGCCGGCCATGTCGAAAAGAAATATGTATCCCGCCGAACAACCGTTCCTGTAGAGGCTCGCGTCGACGGACATCATCAGCAGCTTGACGCCGTCGTTGAATACGTACTTGGACGGCCGCGAATCCGCCAGGCGATGAAAAATTATCCGGTTACCATTTTTATCAGGCTTGGGAAGCATCACAAATTCCCTACAGCACAGTTAAAAGTTGATCTTTTTTTTAATACTTTTAATACATTGCATAAAAAGAAAATGACAGAAATGGACAGTCGTAGACAGATGAGACAAAATTTATCTGTTTTTGTAAGAACTGAATTTTCGGAATCGAAAAGTCAAGGACGCAAAAGTGGAAGGCTCTTTCTCGATACCAAGTGGATTTTGCGCCGTAGTAGCGTGACGCGGAAAAATTACAGCGATAAAGATACTTAATGCGGCCGTATTAAGCGTAAGGTCCAATGGCAGACGCGCAATTTGTACGCACGGTGTGAAATGAAGGGCGTGAAGGAATTTAAAGAGAAAAAGAAGGATCGATCGAGGCAGAAATCGTTTGGCATCCGTGTTGAAATTATCGGAGTGAAATCATATTGAATAACATGTTTTTGTTAAGATGTTTGTGTCGAATCGATGAGCTCAATCCGCATAAATGTATATTATAAAGGTTTTTTGTCGGTTTTTTTCGAATTATTCCCGCGATTTCTTATATTCGTGACGTGAGGACCATACACGCGCGACGCGAGACAAAATTTTCTTTTACTTGCGAAACAAAGCTTTCCTTTCACGTTACTTAACGTTTAGTTGAACGAAGATTATTTAAGAGGTGTTGATAAGTGCTTACAAGGCTTTCAAAGAACGTTGTAGATAGTCCAGACTGGGATCCCTGTCGCTAAAAAATTCCGGAACCGTGGCTCGCATCCTATAATAAACGTTCATGCATCGTTTTGTGGCCTCCACATCAAAGTAACAACTATGCGCGAATAATGCCAATTGCTCATCGGGAATTCTGGGGAGGCCTCGTTCTTTCGCCCATTTTTGCAAATCCTCCAAAAGCTCGTCCGTGATTTCCGGGTATTCCTTCCGCGAATCATCGATCGTGTGGCCAAACTTCATCCTATAAAAAATCGGTATTAAGATAAGATAACAACTGTATAATAATCTCGTTAAATGTTTTTTTAGGGGGGGAAGAAACGATCTATCAAAATTAAAAGCACTTCTGAACGTAAACACGCGAGATAATAATACGATGAAAAGTTCGCAAAAACCAGAGTGTATAAAAGTCAAGTGGAGCTGAAATGCGGTCCATATAGGTTTCCCGCGTATAATGAAACTTTCACCGCAAACGTAAGAACCGTCACTCGCGAATAGCTGGTATGTAATCTCGCTCGAATGGCGTTACAGTAATTACTGTTGCGCGTTCTCGGCATTCGGATTAAAACTAAAATTGTTTTTAACACTCTCAAAATTGTATCTCACATTCAAAAATATTGTATATGTTGGGATTAGATTAGATTAGATTAGGGAACAAAAGATGTGCGTGCGCAACGATACTCGCGACAGTATCGCGTATATTTATATTGACGTATCGATCTCTATATAGCGGGTGTCGCCAGCATAAATTAATGTGCGTTTCATATGTTCTAACAGTAGAGTATTGAATTCATATATATGTGCATTATTCACACAATTGGATATATGTACATGTAACGATGACTTTCGATTGAACGGTTTTAACATGAACAGAAATTTTACGAATGGAAATTAAAAAACGTAAATACAAGACACAAAATAACTTTAATATACCTTCATGATTCTAATTCTAGTCACAAGAATTACAAAAACGATTTTTTTTTGTTGTCGATTTAAAAAAAAAAATCGAATACCTGAAGATAATCAAGAAACGTCGTCAAAGATCGTGCTTGAAACCGTTTTCTTCTCCAAGATTGATTAATCACGATACTTGTTGCACAGAATCCAATTTTCTTTTTATTTTTCAAGAAAGTTTTTTAATAACGTTCGATTTACGTACGCTTCTACAATTATAGTTTGCTTGTTTTCCAATATAGACTATAGACTATTTTAAGTCGCGTTTAAAAATATACTCAGCGTAAAAAAAATATATACTTTTAAGATGATCTATATGTTTTATTTACGTAACTAAACAGTTAATCGTACTCGACAGAAATACGCGCGTTCGAGCACTGAGCGGAGTATACGTTCGGCGAACACACCGTGGGCAACTGCAATTCGTGCTCTAACTCGCGCCGTCGGTTGCATCGGATATTGTAGTGGCCCGCGCATAAGGAAAATATCCCCCTCTTACATATGTTAAAACCGGTTGCGTTGTGATGTTATGTAAGTAAATGGCATGCAAGAGAAGCGATGTTAATATAAACGGTCACCGTAAAGAAAGATTAGAGCTGATATGACGAGATTATAGGGTCTGTTTTCTATTGTTGAACTGGCTGCACTAATTCAGAGTTCATCTTTTTTACTCCACACATTGGAAGGAAAAAGATAATGCCACTCTAAACTAGCGCAGCCAGTTCAGCAACAACAGACCCAGACTTAATAATAGAGGTATTCCCTTAATTAAGAATAGAGATGTTTTTTTGCTGCCAGAGAAAGAGATTCACGACCTTACTTGTTTATATATATATATATATATATATATATATATTTTTTTTTTTTTTTTTTAGAGGAGAGAAACAGTTGAAATTTGCCTAAAAAGTATCTTAGATCGAAAATAGCTTCATTTCCAGCAAATGAATATTTTGAAGGGCATTTTGTTTACAGATTGTAACTCGAGAGAAATTTCCTGTAATGCAACTCGCATGTTGGAGTCCGGGACCATGATAACTGGTATAATCACCGAGAACCATGGAGAGTGAAAAATGTGAAAGCGAAAGCGTGTGTCGAGATCGGCAGATATAAACTGGAAACTGTAAGTAATTTCTTAGTGTCCACGTAATCATGACAACTATTTCTTATTTATTCTTACAAATTGTTTTTATAAGAATTGCTATGGAAATACTAATTTTGAATCATATTATTAAATTTGGAAGAAAACAGTATCTTCTGTTTATCCTTTATTGAGGATACAATATATCTCCGGGGGAGCATCGGAAGAATCACAGCGTTTCCCGGGACTCCCCCAGGACCATCGTGGAGTTTTAGCCGGTAAAAATCCGGCACTCTCTTCGCCTATCACGGAGGCGATGGGGTCTTCCCCCTCCCGCAAGAGAGGGCTATCGGTCGAATGGCCAGTAGTAGATTTCTCCACGTAAAAAAAAAAAAAGAATACAATATATCTTATACGATGTTAATTAATAGTAAACGTTTGAACTGATGACGAAGCGACGCTGATGCAGCTCGTTTGATTGAAGGCGAATCGCGCGGTCCGACGATCGATTAGAGCTTCGAATTACTCAATGGGGAAAATGCAGTTATGCAGCGAGCGGCTATTAGAAAAGAATTTGCTGTGTTGCACAATCTTGTAAGACAAAATCATGCAAATGGAAAACTAATGTTCAACTCTGTATAAGTGTACACGAATCTCAATATTGATTATTTAATTTAACATTAACATATTATATAACTTTGAAAACGGTTTCAGAAGACAGTCTTCAGAAGAAAAAGAAATTCAGAGATAATGTTTTCTGAATATTTTAACTTCAAGATAAAATTTTAATTTGTGACAATTAGTAGTTGTTAAAAAGTTAAAAAAAAAAACCCGGGTAAGATATTTCTATCCGTCTGCGTTTCGGCTAGACCTCGTGTTACGCGTTCGTGAGAAAATGGGTCGTGGGGTATCGCAGCATCAGCTTTCATCTCTCGCTCCCAGTAAGTACACCTGGCCGATGAACGGCGATCAGGTAGCGCAAGGCTACCGACGAGAATGAGCACGTAGGGCACGCGGTCGCAAGGCCGGTGAGTAAGGGAGGATCGGCGGAGGGTGTGTTCGCCGGTGCTGCGCTGGCTGGAGAACAGGTACTCGCCGTAGGCGTCGTACGTTCATTGATAAGCGTATAACACCCCGTGCCTTAGACCCGATGACGTCAACGGACGCCTGCGCAGCATTATGTCGAGTCCTGAATCGCAGTGGCGAACCATCAGCGTCGCAACGCGTCCGATTTTTTTCGCCGTATCGTACACACAGCGAAACTATTTATCTCGAATAGCTCACACGTGAATTAATTTAATCTGCGATCGGAAGCATAACTGTTGAGACTATTATTTACTTGAGTACACATAATTCTTTTAACGACAGCAGGAACGTAACTGAAGGAAATTGCATTCTAATTAGTCTGCGTGGCAGTGTGCCAAGGCTCCCACTTCCTTATTTCTCCATCATTAACTGCATGCTATCATTGACTTACAATTAATAACGATATTCTTTTATGAGTTAATTAAAATATCTAAAACTATTTTATCTGTTGTAAATTATTAAAGTTAAACGAGACGCAGGCATGACGCAGAACCTTTGCATTTATGCGTTGATTGATGCGATCGGCAGTCGCGCAATCATCTTACGAAATTTTCGACTGGCATGAAGCATACTCAGAATCTCTACATGGGCGAAGTTGTTACGTTCCTGGTGATACGGCAAGATCGTTTTAGACCGCGAGGAAGGTACTGTCGTCTCTCCCGCACCAGGAAATTTTGGACAGGCGTGCGTGCATTAACAGGCGACGCCGCGTTAAAATTGGACTATTTCTCCGAATCTTCGCGAATCTACCCCCTCCTGCCTTCGTGTCATTCTACATTGGCCATTCGTCCATGAGAAAAATCGCGCGAGAGGAGAAAGCACGACGAGTTAGAATGAAACGAATAGAAGGGAGTCGTGGAACAGAGCTAGATAAATGAAATAGATGTAGGTGGAGGAAAGGGAGGCGAAGGAGAGGGAGAGCAGACGGGGGTTGGAAAGAGTCAGTGGCGGGATAGTTTGGGGGAGAGAGAGTGTGAGAGAGGGAGAAACAGAAAGCGAGAGAGAGAGCGGAGGGAAAGAGAGTGACAATGAGAGGGAGAGAGAGAGTAGAGATATCGTAGGATCACCTCTTGCGTATTGATTGGTCTTTTGTGAAAACTACACCCCCATGTAGCCGCGACGCGAACCATTTCGCCAAGTCACTAGACTTCCAGGGTATCGGCTACTAGGGTGGTGAATGCCGCCATGTTTGGCACGGTCGATCGAACCCCCCTTTAACGCCGCGTCGCCCCCCGTCGCCGATGATAATGTCGCGAACGAACGCGCCGCGCCGGCGAGCGGTCGAGCTGACGCGCGTCCCCGCGACGTAGGCGAGAGGGGACCACTTTCCATTCCCCCAGATCGCGACTCGAGAGCGAGCGAGACGTGATGTAAGGGGAGATCGTGAGCGACGGACGCCGGCGATACAGCGACTCTATATCGGCATCGATCGCCGAGTGACCCATATCTGGCGGTGACGGGAGCCCCTGCCCTCGCCCCCGCCGGTCCCCTGTCGCTTCTCCAACCGCCCCTACGACGCTTCTCGCATCCTGGTGCGCGCATCTACCCTCTCCTCGACCACCCCCGTGCACTTGCCGTCCGCTTGTACGCCGTACGGGGGTACACCTCCGCCCCACACGGGCCGTTGTACCCCCACCCGTCACCCCCCGCCCCCGACAGCGGCAAGCGACCATCACCATCACCCCCTACCCCCGACTCCAGCAGCCCTGCCTGCCTTCCACGGCCGAGCAGATCTTGGGGGTTGTACGGGATGATAGCCGAGTGAAAAAGCTTGGCGAGTACCGAGGAGAGTTCGCTCATCAGCAGCAGCAGCCCTGGCCTGCCACAATCCCTTCGATTCGGTCATCGTAAGTGTCGCGTCGACGAGGAGGTAGAGTGGAAGCTGATGCAAGTCCGGTGCGAGGGTGAGGGTGAGAGCTAGAAAGAGAGAGAGAGAAAGAGAGCGAGAGAACGAGCGACAGAGAGGAGTGTCTGATGAAGAGTGCGAACGGGAGTGCGAAAGGAAAACTCGATTAGCCGCTCGACAGCCGGTCTGCGACGTCCGATGTTCGAGACACCAGGAGACGCGACGAGCGAGCGAGTGCCGCGGACGCGAGCGGAACGTCGCAGGCGGCACCTCCGAACGTATAATTCGCGCGAAACGTACTCCCGGGAGTGAGCCCTTTGCCTGTCCGATCCGGTCAACCCTGTCAATCTCGTCAATCTCAACGTGTCGGGGCTCACAGTGACAGTCCGTAGCGGAAGAGTGTCAGTGATGGGGATGAGAGTGGCCAGCGGCGACGACGACGGCTGCGGCGGCAGCGGCACCGGGACGACGGACCAGTATGGCGGACGATAATCGTGGAGTGTCGGTGGTGTCGCCGCCGCCACCGCCACCGCCACCGCCACCACCACCGCCGTCGTCGTTGCCGTCACCGCTGCTGCTTACGACAGTGGTTGCACTACGTGCCCGACGTGCAGTGGTGTCCGGCGCGCACCGGGTTCACATGTACGCTACGTACCTTTCGCCCTTTAGTGAGATCAATAAGCAGTGCCGTGGCCACTCGAGTCGTGCCCCCGCCGGGGAAAGTCGTTCCGTGGGTCTCTGGTGTACCTTCGTTCCCCGTTACAATCGCGCGTCTTTCCTCCAACCCCTCGCCACCGCCGTTCCTTCCTTGACGTCGTCTTGACTGTCGATTTGATTGCACGAGGCTCAATTCCGAGCCGCACGTCGAGCGTCAAAGAGTGCTAAGAGTATTCCGGAGGTGAATTCGCCTTCCGAATCATCGTCAAGAGCTGGCTTTCAGTGGCCGGAAGTGTAGTATTTTATCAGAACCTCTTTCTCCTTCTCTTTCCGTTTCTTCTTCGAAGGGCGGTCAAACGAGACTTCTTTGCACTCCTCCACTTTCGGGTTTTGCCAGAGTGCTCATTTCCGCCCGTTTATCTTCGTGTATCAGTCGCTATCTCGTCCGCCATCGAGGTGTTCCTCGATATCGCCCGATCCAACTGCTTGCGTAGCACTTCTCGTCTGCATCTTGGATCGAATTGGTCATCAGCCAGCACCCGGTAGGACTTCCCTCGTCTTGATAGATCTCCTTATCGCTGCCTCCGCTTCTCTCAATCTATCTCGCTAGTCTTCTTTCGTTGCCCGTATTCCGCACATTACTTTCCATTCACACGTTCAGTTGCTTCATCGCAACGAGATTGCTTTTATCTATTTCCACAGCTTTCGTTACGTTCCGTGTTGTTATCAGACCCATGAAATTTTATGATATCGATTTCCCGCGGCGATTTCCGTGCTCTTCGTTAAACTAAGCATCCAGAAGTATCAAAGAATCCGTTCTCAGCGAAAGAAATTCTCGTCTTAACTCAAAACGGTCCGAGATCGTCGTGTAATTTAATCGGAATGTTTTACCCTACAAAAGAATTGTGTAAGAACTTTTACATCTGCGAAATAAATTCTCTTGCGAACCTAATGAATATCCATTCAAGTGTTAAATCTCTTAACACGTATAAATGACAATTGATCGCAAATTGTTCTCTCTGCAAGTCTCGCTAATGAAAACTCTGAAATCTTTTTCAACAATATATCTCTTTTATTCTGCATTCTACTGATGTATTGTTTACATAATTATTTATAGACTCAACGTGAACATTTCCAATTTAAATGTAGAATTCAGCCGGTTCACGTTCGACGATCATTCGTTATATATCATTCGGAAGTATATCGGCAGTCAAAGGGTTAACAAGCGGGAAGAGTTCCGCGCCGCGAGGAACAAAGTAGCCATAAAGTAACAGCGATAAGATGTATTTACCTAAGCTGCGAGAGCTGAACCGCGTGCGGCGGAATAAAATCGATAATTCGGCACTAATATAGGAGTCTAGCATTAACTCTCGCGATGCGTGGATAGAGGGGTCGGGAACGGTTTTTCTATCGGTTTTCTAAAGATTTCACATATTTCTTCTCACGGAACTGTATACGCTCAGCCTAACGACAAATATTTGCATAATACATATCCGCGATATATTTGTTCTCTTTTATTTTTTTTTAATTCCGTATGCACGCGGCGGAAAGTTCTGTTTTTACTACTCGGCTATTTCGGGATACTATATCGATTCTTCGGCTCGTATCGTAGCCTGTTTTATCGCATTTCATTCCTTCTGTGCACATTGTTACGTCGCTGATTGTCCGTCAACGCATGAACTTGCGCGGCAGAAAGGCGGATAATTTCCTGATCGTCTCGCTTTCACTGTGTTCGTTAGTGTCGGGAGAAAGAGAAACAAAGAGCGGGAACATGCACGGCAATTAAATAGCATCAGGGAATGGAAGCGTACCCGAGGGAGTTGCCAATCGCATTAATAGGAAGGCAATGAAAGAAAAGAAAAATGAGAGGCTCGCGCCTAGCGAGAGATGTTTTTCTCTTTGCACTTCATTGTCAATTATACAATGTGCGCGAGTGATTTTTACAACACGCTCTTACGTCAATTATCGCGTTTAATCCTGTCGATATAACGAATGTTTGAGTTTATAATGCAAACAATTTAACTTTCGCTAAGTTATCTTACATCGATTCGGTATATCTTTGCCGATATAAGTTTTCTCCAACTGCGTGACATTTAATTAAAAATATACGTAAAGAGTTCTTGCTCTAGTCTTCTGGAGGGTAACGCAGGTCGGAGCGGCACTGTTCTCTTCCGCGTTCGCGCGACAAACGTAGATGACTGACGACAATTGGAGTGTCGCAGTAAAAAAAAAAGCACTCACGTTTGATCTCTGATGATCGTGGAGATAGGAAGAAAGGGGGAAAGAGTTAGCCGGATGCGCTTGCTGTGCGCTTTTATCTCGGTGCACAGACGCAGAGACGACGGGACGAGGGCGTGAAACTCGGCGATGCGCGTAAATCGCTAACTGAAGCCTCGAACGAGGCACGTGTCGCTCGATCGCAACATACACGTTAACGAGATTCTGTGACAAGCGCGGCGTATGCGTGCGGGTGCATGCGTGGGTATGCGTGCCTGTGTGCATGTGTGGGGCTCAATCGCGGCAAGTTTTTCGCGTGGAAACCACGATCGGGCACTTGGCCGCACGCGACGTGTCGACACGAAATATCGCACGAGAGCGACTGTACAACTCGTAGTTGCCCTGTAGTTAATACTCCCTGGCTGTGCCGCCGGTGTTAAAGTTACATACGTGTTCGCGGTCGGTTGGGCTCATTGTGGGCGACGGCGACGAGCGATCGTCGACCATGAAGTCCGGCAAACCGGAGCGAGAATTTCTACAGGCGGATTACGAACTCGATCGAATTCCTCGCGCCAATACCTGTTGCCAATAATCGGCGCCGATTGACTTTCTCACTTAACAGGGAACTCTCGCAGTAAATCTAGCGGCTTAACAACCCTTGAGTCCTAGGCTTAATAGCGCGATAGTCGAATCACGGAGTTGCCCTTTATTTGACATAGAATCGAGCTGAGAAAAGATTTTTTTTTATTACAACAAAATATGGTCTTTAAATTAATAATCTTTTTGTTCTTCTTTGAATTGGACGAAGACTTGCGGAGAGCCTTACGCAGCGCGTCAAAAAGATGTCTGGTTTAACGGCAGCACGTAAAATGGATAAGCAAGATAAGAAAATCGGGCTATGCTTGAAAGCAACTTTATCAAATGAAGGGCCAAATCGATGCAACCTAATTCACGCTATATTTGGCTGACGACATACATTCCTCGCATTTTGTATTATAGATTTATAATTAACGAGCACGTCAATAATTTCATTCTCATTAAATATCCATTTTATTTCCGGAATCTGAAAATGTAAGAGGCGTGGTCAGAGAGAGCCACTTATTAACGATTAAAAAAAAATATTCTGCATACGTGCGTTTTGTCCTAGGATGACCCCATATCTAACTGCGAATCAGCCTGCGATCCGATGCGAAAGAACGCTGGTCCCCCTTAAACGCGAGGTCCCCCCGTTTCCCGAGAGTGCTACGAGACCAAGTCCCGGCTCGTTCCCGAGGCAGGGTACGCACGTGATGGGAGAAATAAGTGTCCCCTTTTGCACTACGATAGAGCCGCACTGTTAGGCGTGTGTGTGGGAACGTCGTGCGGTGCGCGGCGCGGCTCGGCGGGCCGCGCAAAGGCCGCCCAATTAATTAAGATAGCTCCTAGACACACACGCTAGATCGATAGGGAGACCGGCCGCGATAAAGACTGGCGAGGGTCTCAGACTTCAGGGATGTTGCAGTGCTGTGGTGTTGGAGGTGGCGCTTCCACGGCACCTCAGGCTCCGCAGCTGCACGGTACCGGATCCGCTGTCGGGGCTACCGCCTCCACGAGAACCACCAACATGCAGGACGCAGTCGTTCTCGAATCCATCCTGGAGGTGAGCGTTATCAGCGATGAGTAATAAAACAATTTTGCGCGCGCGCGTGCCTTTTCTATTTTTTAAATGTTTATCTTAAGAATTTGTTATCTGGATTTAATTAATTACCTTCGTACGCAGTTTGGAAAATGTTACTTCTACTCGTTTGTGTATTATTGATAATTATTTAATTTTTTATTAAATACAATCTCCAAGATAGTGAAAAATGTTTTAACGACCATTTTTATTTTCTTCTTTTTTAAATGTTTTCAGGTGAGACTTTTGCGTGTTGCTTTTTACATTAGGGAAAACTGAGTTATTCTGAATTTGCGGAAAAAGCATCTTGTGAGATATTTTGCAGTTGTCAAAAATTAAAGATCCTGCGAAGCGATATTAATGAATGTGCGAAACACACGTGCGTGCACTTTGTCGCGAATCGAAAGTCCTTGAAATTAAACAGATTTATGTGGAAAAGGTAATGTGCGTGTAATCAATACATACATATACACATGTACCAATATACACGTGAGCGCGCGAAAGTTACGTGTAAACCATCGACAATGAACTGCGGCTCGTGAAAAGCTCTCTTTCATTCTCGGCGCGCCGCGCTCGCCGATATTCGATAAAGCGCACGTAATACGAAAAACAAAAGTTGTTATTAATGCGTTCCGGTAATGATTGCTCGTTCTCGAGGGAACTTTAATTCGCGGCTTCGCCACGCGTAAAATAAACCGCTCAAACTTCGTTAACGACCGAAATTTATGTCCCTTGTACGCCGCGAGCGCGCTTCGAAGCGGACCCCAGAAATCTGTGTACGCGGGAAATTAATACTGACCTGACCGAAGTTCAATCTACCGCAATCGCGATAATTGAGCCAATTAATTTCGCGAAGTGGTAAGCAGTTTTACTGTTTATAAAGCGATCGGCGCGGCGTCACGGCCATAATTGCCGGCTAATTATAAAGAAGCTATTAAAGGGGACATGTCAAAGAGAATGTCATCTATCGGTATTATCCTCTTGTTTTCTTGATATCGTTTTTTTTTTTCGACGAGAGATTTCTACAGCTAGATTGTATATAATGGAGATCCGTTGCGCGCACCTTCCGGGCAATCGAAGCACAAAAGCCCGGCCCCTTCATTTCAAACGTGACATTCTTGTCGCGTATCCAACTACACGTCGCTCCGGGTTATTAAAAACAAAGTCTCGCGACCGCAAAATTAGAAATCGAACCGATTTCTTTCTTTATCCGTTATTTCCACTCTCTGTGTGAAACGTTAGATAACTCTGTGAAATTATATTAAAATCTTATTATAAAACTCCTGTGTAATGTGGAGTTGCCTCATATTTACCACAGCATACGGAGTGTACGTTGCAATTAAATTTTATTTTTAGTATCAAACATTTATAAAAATACATAAACATCCATTTCGTATAAAATTTTACTGCGTGATTCGGAGCAATAAATCGTCTGTATAAACAGCTATTAATCGAGATATCGGCGCAACCTTAGCAAATCGCTGTCGTGTCTACGTAACGACTACCGCATAACGTCGATCACGCGCCGAAGAATGTGTCTTATTTGTGTCGGATATTGACAAATTTATTTATGACGTTAATCATACGATCGATTCTTTCAGAAAATGCGGGAGACGGAAGCCCTACGAGCGGAGCTGGAGAGGCAGCATGCGGACGCACAGAACCAGCTGCGGGAGAAGATAGCAGGACGCTATCAGGGCCCGGAATCGATCGAGGCGTTGCAGTCCAAGATCCGAGAGCTTGAGAAGAAAATCGAGCTGCAGATGGTGAGGCACGAGGAGCTGTCGCTGGAGCTGACCAGTTTGTCACGTGCACGCAGTAGGGGACCGGTTATAAGTCACGTCACGTCCACGAGCGTCCCGACGTCGACTTGGCCGCCAACCTGCTCCGAGATTGATAGAATCATCGCCAAGATCGAGCAGGACAATAGGTACGCGGATCGACAAAACGGATTTTTTTAATCGAGACAAATTGGCTTTGCAAACTCGTCAGCGTGACACAGTTGACGTTCCTCACATACTCTATACATATATTTAAGTATAAAGGCGTTTGCGTAAACATTATTTGTAAAGGCGTCAGTTGTTTTAACTACGTATGACTTTTGTAAGTGAATCGCACGGATTTTTTATTAATCAAAATAAATTTAGCGGCAGAATTTTGCACGAATTGGACCACACGCGGAGCGCGATAACCACGCAGCAACCCTCGGCTACGCAGAGCATCCTTAGGTCCAGCTCAGAGAATCTTCCCAACCTCGGTCAGCATCAACATCCACCTCATCCACACGCCCTCAACCTCGGGATACCTACCCAGATGGGTCACGTACGTTTACGTAATATTATACAATGTTACACAATCTTTCTCACTAATTTTTATACGAAAAGATTGAGAGAAATTTAACATTAATTTGAACAAGACTAATTATTTAAATAATTAACTTTCTTGTCGCAATTTGTACTAGTACTCTCTCCCTCTGATGTGTTTGCTGATTATTGATAAGAACTTTTCTCTCTTTCTCGAACAGTACGCAGGTTCACCAATGCCATTAACGCCGATGATGCCTGGTTGTCCTCCACTGACGCCGAATGGACCACCATATCACTACAGCGAGCCGATCCCGCCAGCACCGTCACTCTCCAGCAGTCAGTCGCAGCCCGCTTTCCAGCAGAAAATTCAACAGTACCAGCAACAATCGCAACCGCACGAGTTGTCGAGTTCCCATTCTCAAAGCGCCCTACCATCCCAACAGAAACAGCAGCAACAAACGCACACCTCACACTTCGGAAGCAATCAGTATCAGGAGAGCTATCCACATACGCAAACGTATCAGCAACCGCTTCAGCAACAGCAGCAACCGCAGCAGCAGCAGCAGCATCCGGCCTCGACTACGTACCTGACATCGGCCAGCCAGAGCGTGATACCTCACTATACACAGCCTGTCCAGACTGCCCAGAATTATCAGTTGAATGGGAGTCAACAGGTATGTCGTCAATTATTCAATTATGATTACTTTCTTATAAGCAGGTAAACGAAGTAATGAATTCTTGGAGGCCTATAGATAGAACGGATGGCACTGTTTTTAGCACCCAGTTTACGAAATATTTATCTAGAATAGTTTCCAACAGTTATAAATTAACGTTGATTCAAGTGTTGCAATCTTTTATGACGAGTACATTTCTAATTTTAGTTTTATCGTAATATCGTTAAAAGTAAAACATTGAAAATTACGAAGAAGATTAAGCTGGCTATAAATTTCACAATGATTGATTTGTCTCACGCACAGGCAACGACATATCCTAGTTTGTCCATGGCCTCGCATCCAAATGGAACTTACAGCACAGGCGCGACCAGCTACAACACCCAGTTGCCGCATCACAATTATACTATGTCGCAGACGAACATTCCGCAGACGACGCTGCCCTCGTTGCCGCTGTATCCCACGTCCTATCATTCCACTCTCGGACTCACGAGCGTACCCCAGTCTGTTCTTCCTTTCTCCAGCGGTCAGAGCACTTTCGCCACCAGTGGAACGACATACTCCACTACCGTCGGGACCAACGCTTTCGGGACGCCGGGCGTAAGCTCAGGTCAGAATCGCATTAACACACATCATTGAAAGATTAATCTTTAGTATAATACTTTTAAGAAGGTAAAGAATAAATTAAATTTTTTTCCGACTTTAAAAAAATGAGTCGTAGCATTATTCAAATGAATTTTCTGATAATAACACGTGCCTGTGCAGGTACTAGTTCGGGAGGTCTGTTACAAGCAATAGGCGATCCTCTACAAGCGATGCAGCAATTCTCCGCCCAGTCGCAGGCAAGTCAGCTTCAGACGCAGGCGATTATCCAGCAGATCCAGCAGAGCTTGCGCGCCAGTTCGCCGACCGCGCCCGGTACCGCGACCGGCCACCATTTTTTGGGGGGTCCTAGGCAAATGCCGAAGATCCCTACAAGTATACTGACGAATCCCCTGGACCGATTGACTAACACCGACGACATTGTACCCGAAGGTCAAGTGGATATGCTGGACGTGCCCGGCAAGGGCAGATGTTACGTTTACATAGCTCGCTTCAGCTACGAGCCGTTCCAACACTCACCGAACGCGAATCCGGAAGCGGAACTACCGGTCCAGGGTGGCGATTACCTCCTGGTCTGGGGCCAGCCTGATGAAGACGGGTTCCTGGATGCGGAAACGCTCGACGGTAGACGCGGTCTGGTGCCGGCCAACTTCGTGCAGAAATTGATCGGCGACGATCTTCTGGAATTCCATCAAGCCGTTCTCGGCCTCAGGGACGTAGACGATTCCGTCTCGACGAATATCCCTCAAGTGAGCAATATGAGAGCTAACGAGGTACTTGGCGAGCCAACGCGTTTATATTTGTGTTCTACCTGCATTTATATCTTTGCGATAAATAGGATTAAGAATAGTATTAATGTTTGAAAATACGATAGTATTGATGTATGAAAATAATCAGAAGAAAATAAGAATATTATCAAAATTTTATTTAGAGAACGTTAATTGTATAGATGATAATAATAATTTTAATTTGATCTATTTTAGTGCTATCTGCAAGATATTGATTTAGAATTAGCCGCGTTGGAAGAAGGGAACCGGAATCGTCAAGCAGAATTATCCGCTTATGCGGAACTCGACAATATCGCGGAGGAGGATGAGCAGGAACCACCAGGTTAGTACTCTTTAACAATTCATTGATCTACAAAACGTTGCATGACGCATGTCTTTAACTCTGAATTAGAGAATGTAATGTATATTAAATCTACGTCCGTAATCCAGTAAATATGTAGATATATATGGTACTTGGATCATCTCTAGAAAAGTTAATCCGCTTTCAGTGATGTGTTTGAAACGTTTTTCCGACAACTATACACGTTAAACCAAAATAACGCGATCTGTGACGCAACTAAAAATTTTTTCTCCAGAGAAAATCTTGCTTCCACAATTTGTCGATTCTGTTCGATGTGTATGCATGTATGTTCAATTCAATGTGAAATACCTTAAGAAACAATACCAAATCCTCAGCGTGTTTCTGTGGCTCCTTCCTTTGCCTTATTTGTTGCATGTTGTTAATTTGGATTAAGACGTCTATACACGTCACACTGTCACACGATAAAACGTCCAAGCCTGAACCGGTTTTCACGGAGCGAATAGTCACAAAATAAAATGGGGAACACAGAAAACTGAATCGTTGCACTGTGTTAAGTGTTGGCTGGATTTAGGCTGGCTTAGAGAGATAGACAATAGTGAGAGATCCTTAGCTACAGCTAGGCTTTGTCTTTGTCTTTTCCTCCTGAAGAAGTCTACATGTTTTCGGACCTAGTTCCGGCGCCGCAGCACCTCACGCTCGAACGGCAACTCAACAAGAGCGTGCTGATTGGATGGACCGCTCCCGACAACACACATCAACTCGAGTCTTACCACGTCTACGTGGACGGCGTGCTGAAAGTCACGGTGAAGGCCACCGAGAGGACCAGGGCTTTGGTGGAGGGAGTCGATTCTACACGGGTTCGTAATAAAAATCTTTATTCATCAGATTCCCCTAAAAGAACTTACAAATTCAAAGAAAAACTTGAAATTTGAATAAAATTAAAATATTTAATTAAATTAAAATTAATTTGAAATAATTATAATTATTAATTAATACGATTTACACAATTACCTATGATGTAATATAAGAAATAATTACCCGCGATATGAATTTTTTTATAGAACCTGCGATATTATATGCGATATGAAGATTTTTATAGAAAATATTAATTGTCTTAAATTTTTTAGACTGGCACATGAAGTTTAAGTAGCCCTGAGATTTCAGGGCATGTATAAGAATGAAGGATTGTATAAAAGGACTTGTATAAAAATGTCAAATGTACATCTCTGTTTGTGTAATCCATTTTAATTACCTCGAAATCGTTCTTTCGCTGATGCAGCCGCACAGGATAAGCGTGCGTTCGGTTACGCATTCGAGAAGGACGTCGCGCGACGCCGCTTGCACGATGGTGATCGGTAAAGACGTCGCGCTGGGCCCGACCTCCGTTAAAGCATCGAACGTCACGGCGACTAGTGCCGTGATATCCTGGCTACCTAGTAACAGCAATCATCAGCACGTCGTATGCGTGAACAACGTGGAAGTGAGAACCGTGAAGCCGGGCGTTTACAGGCACACCATCACCGGCCTGGCTCCGTCAACGATATACAGGGTGACCGTCAAGGCGAAGAACCTGCGGGCGACGCATTTTGAGGACCAAAATGCTCAGGCGGCGAACAACCTGGCTTGCCACGTCCACTTTAAGACGTTGCCCAAGGGATTACCGGATCCTCCGGTCGATATCCAGGTTAATATAAATATAATATAATCACTTTACATTTGTATCTCAATCTTACAATTCTACAATTTTTTTTTATTAGGATAAAAATTCTGAAAGCAATGTTAAATTCTGAAGTTTTCCAGAAACAGAATAAAAATTCAGCGACCAGAACTAGATATTAGATTTTCAGGAATTTCTGTCAACGATCCTTAAGAAAAAAATTTTCTAGGCATTAATAATGCATAACATTATCCAATTTTTCAGGTGGAGGCTGGACCGCAGGACGGCACTTTGCTAGTGACCTGGCAGCCTGTTGCCCTAAACGGTTCGGCCGTCACCGGTTACGCGGTGTACGCCGATGGTAAGAAGGTCACCGACGTTGACAGCCCCACCGGAGATCACGCGCTTGTCGACATACACAAGCTCATGGGTCTCAACCCGAAGCACATCACCGTCAGAACTAAGAGCAGGGAAAGTCAGTCGGGTGATAGTTGCGCAACAGCGATACCCTGCAGCGTGCTTCGGGGTGGTGCCGCCGCTCACATGCCGCCGCCCCATGGACTTCCACACATGGATCAACGGCAGCCCCAACAGTCTACTATGGGCCCCCAGCAGAATGATCCCAATCGTGGGATCTACATGTCCGGCGTTGTCGGCCAAAATCGACATAATATACCCGCGCACATGCGACGACACGTGGGCAACAGAGTAGACGCCCACGGTCAGGTTATCATCGAGACGGAGGAGAATCTCTCCGACAAGGAGATTTACCCCGGACAGAGCATCCCCCAGATGGGTAAATATCCAAAAATATAAAGGAGCAAGGGAATCTGGGTTCGACAATAAATGACTTCCGTACAACCCAAGCTTCCCTGCTCGATCCATATACTCATGCTTAATCGCGATTTTCAATTATCTCGTCTAGGAATTCCGGAAATCACAAAAGATTCTGCGAGCGAAGCGAATTATAGCGAGGAGGACGATCCCACGCGAAGATCGCGGGGAATGCCACCACAGCATCACGGCCCGCATCATCGATATGGGCCGCAAATGGATCCTCAGGGCCCGCCTGGAGCACATAGGTCTCCTAGCATGGGCGGCCCCAGCAGTAGACCACAAGATCCTTATTATGATCAAACGGGTAGATATAATGGCCACTGTGTTGCTGTGATGGAATTCTGTGCATTCTTTGCCTCAATTTCTAATTTAACACTCATTTCCTTTCTATTTTAATTAATTGTTTCGAACAATTGCTGTTTATATAACTCTGAAGATAAACCCTGAATGTGATGTGTATTTATGTGACACTTTTCTCCTCTTTCGGACTCTCAATTCTCTCGCTGAAGCCTTGACGTAAAATAAGAATTTATACTGTGTGTACTCATCTATCAACCTTAAGTGTAACAAAATGAATCTACGAGTCACATGTTATTATGTCCATTTTTTTTTTTAATATTGCTCAGGATCTCAAAGAGGGAGGGGACCGGTTTATCGTGGTGGTGGACGAGTAACGCAGGCTCAAGGTGGGGCGAGTCACCCACCGAATGTAGCCCAACAAATGAACAAGAGACAACGGTGGTTCGTGGCGCTATTCGACTACGATCCTACGACTATGTCACCGAATCCAGATGCGTGTGAAGAGGAATTACCATTTTCCGAAGGCGATACCATCAAGGTTCTTATATCCTATATCATTCCTGCATCTTATTCAACCACCATTCTCATTTAATATTTGTGATTATTGAAATTATTTTAATTAAGTTTAAATCAAATGTAAATTAAATGTTCTGAAGTAAAAAATTATCAGCTGTTTTACAAAAATTTAGATGAATTCTAAGTACATTAAAAATTTCACATTTGATTCATATTAATATCTCTGCAAAATGATAATCACTGCATTATATGAAATATAAAAATCTTATACAATGTTTTTTATCCTAGGTATACGGTGAGAAAGATGCCGATGGTTTTTACTGGGGCGAGTGTCGCAATAGGCGAGGATATGTTCCTTACAACATGGTGGAAGAGGTTAAAGATCCACCAGGTCAAGCTCAGCCGAGTAGAAGAGGACCTGCACAGAGCGAGAGATGGGGAGACATTTATGCGAGCATGCCTATGAAGAAGATGATAGCTCTCTATGATTATGATCCTCACGAATTATCTCCTAACGTTGATGCTGTAAGATTTTTATCCTAATACTCTAAATTTGAAAATTCACTATTACTTAGGTACATGTTTAATTGGAGTTTTAAAAATCCGTTAACTGTCCATAGTTAATTGATTGCCACATTTGCACGTTTATATAATAATTTGTAATAATTTTTGCTGTTTTCATTATTTGCTATTGATTGAGCCTTAATTTTGCAGCAAGTCGAATTAACGTTCCAAACCGGAAACGAGATATATGTCTACGGCGACATGGACGATGACGGATTTTACATGGGCGAGCTGAACGGCGTGCGCGGTTTAGTGCCGAGTAATTTCCTTACCGAGGCACCCGGACAGAATCAGGGGCAACCGCCGCAGGGTAGCAGGCGACCTGGCGGCCAGAGCCAAGGGCCGGGCGCGAGGGGGCCACCGCCACCTCCTCGAGAACCACCCCCGGCCGGTCACCGACGTGGCAAAGGTAAACACGCAATCACATACCATTCATATACATCAAATCCTCCTTATAGTCCAATTATCAGGGCACGAATAGCTCCTCAAGCCTAAACGAACATCGGAATTAACTGTGTTCTGCACGGAGAAAAAAGTTTGCCGGTCTAACGTATTTTACATTGTTATGGCATATCCGGATTATTATATATGGACAGTAAAAAAAAATTCGTTAAAAATACTAATTTTTTTTACTGTATTTATTTGTATTTTTTAATTTGTTTTCGCAAATAAATTCACTCGGCGAGATTTTTCCATTTTATCAAAAGAGAATAAATTTCGCTTTAATGTCAATTCTAACTGCTTTTGATAATGAAAGCATTGTCGCATCGCAGTAATAACGGTTTTGCTTTGACAGCCAAATTCCTTTCCTCCGTATGTACATTGATACTGTTTCCCAATCACCACGAGTGAGTGTTTTGATGTAACGCAGCATCCGCAGCGCAATGCAAAAAACGCAAACTGCCAAATTGTTAAGAAAAGGAATTGGTTTTTTTTTCTGTAAGCTAGAGATTTTCGCGTGTCAGTGAGATTCAATCTCCTTGCGATTCGAACCAAACGGGATGTTGAAACTGGCTCGAGGGGTTGTTGACGTACGTTTTCACACCGACGCGACGCGACGCATTATTTCAGTGTTTGAAGCACACAGTCAGATGAAAAGATACGTGCAGTTAGATCGTTTCATGATTGAGATACAATCGATAAGTATAAGCGATACCGTCGCGTCGGTGTGGGCGAAAAAAAAAACGGAAATGCAAGCGTCAAGCAACACAAGACACGAAACCAGATGTGTGCCAGACGACAGGCAGAAGGGCCACACACTGATATATTAATTGTTAGCGTTGCGCAATCTGGCGAGTTCGAATCGATATGCAATTCGAGCCGAATGAGCATGCGGCGTATAATTAGATGGAATTATTTTGGAGCAAAGTGTGCAAACCGCGTGTCCGACACGCCTTACACGTGCCCCTCGACGAGAGGGGCCTCGTTGTGTCGCTTCACACGCACGCCGGTTTCTTCACCAGCAGTGTATACATCCGATACCCACGCTCTCGTAGGCATTCAACAACGTCATGTTATTCTGTTAACTGTTACCACGATCGTCAAACGTTATTACCAAGTATCACACCGATAGAAATTCTCCGCGTCACATGTATATATAAAGTGAATTTGGTGAACGTCCGTCGAAAACACGTGCTGTCATACACACGACGATAGATTATATATATATTATATATATATGCAATATAAAACACCAAGCTGCTTTCAATGTCTTCTATTATATAAGTATATATCTAACATATATATGTATTTTTTATATACGTATATATGATTACAATTACGTGTATACGTATATTTTATATACATATATTTTTTTTTCTCTCCGGGCACTATCTGCCTCTGTTACTATTACTCTACGTATCTGTCCTATTCTCTCTGTCTATATTATATACATACGTATATATTATATATTTACACTATATATATATTTAATCGACTGATTATATACACACGATCATGTCGCTGTGATATATAACAGTTTACTTTATACCGACATGATCTGTTTCTGTGTGCCTGAACTGATCGATGGTCGTCGTGTCACATGATTGTCGTTCGTGTCGTGTTGTCATGCTGGCCATTTACGATTACGTTAATCTTCCATTTGTTCATTGATCGAAACGGTACGAACGGTACAACGACAGACGGTCGCGACTTTCGTCCAGAAATACCGGGAAAATGAACGGCGACGTTGAGACTCGCGTGACTTACGAGACCTCGCCAAGTAATTCCGGGACTCTTCGCCGAATTGTTCGAATGATCTATCGATCTCGTCTCGGGACGATCTGTCTCGCGGCTTTTCGGAATAACAAATACTCCGGCATGCTCGATCGACTCGAAGGAAAAGAGATTTAAAAAAATAGAGAAGAAAAGAAAAGACAAGAAAAGTAAGAGATAAATGCGCCATGAATGACAACACGGTTCTGTTCTCTTCTCTGTTGCTAGATGCCTGCATTGTGCCTGTGTCTGTCCCTGTCTGTCACTTAGACTCTAGACAACTACAACAACCACCACCACCATCACTAATGAACAACCAACAACATCAACTACAACATCAAAACAATCCACCGCATCTAGCCTATCAACAAGCGAATCACCACAGCTACACGACCGTAACCACGTCCTATCAGCATGGGCCCAGTCACTTGCCACCCGGCGGCGGTGTCATGGGTGCCCATCAGCAAGGTCCCGTACAGCCCCACCTTCAGCAACAGGTGAGCCCGCTCCTCTTCCGTGAATTTCTTCGTGCGCTTACTCTCTATCTCTTTCTATATATATATCTCTCTCTCTTTCTCGTGTGCTTTTTGTCAAACGTGTGTGCTTTTTATCCACACTTTTTGTGCGCTTGTTCCTGAGGTACACCGAGGTTTCCACGTTCAACGACTGTCCGTGATCGACAAGTCGTTTTTCCACGCGTGACCACAAGTTGCTAATTTTCCTTTCGAAGAGAAATGGGGAGAGGAAAACTCGAATTTTTTGTTATTGAGAACACTGCGAAATTCTAGAGCGAATCAATATTTTCTCGTTACGTTTGCATTGTCTGTTTAGGATGTGATGAATCGACAGAATATTTTTTGTTTGATTTACTTTTTGCATATAGATAAAATATAGATATCGGATTGAGTTATAGAGACTGGAGCTTGACAAAAAATTATATGGTCTCGTATTTTTATGCATTTTTTATTACATGTCGCTTTCTGTGCTTCGCTGTCAGCTTTAACTCGCGATTCTATCTTTACTATAAATATTGAATGATCTTCAATTCTTTGCATGAATGCAAAATATATTGCAAGATATATATATAATATATGTCTACGATATGAAAAGAGGGATTTTGATTATTTCAGAAGGTCAAGTAAATTTTTTGAGAATTTTATTAATTTTATGCAATGTGGACTGAAAAGAATTCGCAAAGTCGATTAGGAAATTCGTATTTTTGATTAGAGAAATCTGACGACTATTTGAGTCAGTATTTTTGCATTTTACTTAGTAGTATGTGTTCTTCTTTTTACAAGTACAAGTACGAGTCGTACTTTATTGCGAAGCACGCGTGCCGGACGTGACACGTGACACGCGAGCTACGTGTGCTCATGTCAATGTATTTTCGTATGTTATGTGAAACGCTTTAAATCGTGCAGCATGCCGTAGCATTCGTCTTATTTGATCTCTCGTCATTTTAATAATAAAAATCATTGCAGTTAAAAAATAAAAGAAAAGAAAACGTACCTTGCGCCTCGATAAGTCATCATGAATGTCCTACGCTAACACTAACACAACACTATAAGCAAGAGGACGGATTGGAAATAAAACATAAAAATCTTTATAAAGTTTCTATCTTTATGTTATGTTTTTTTATCTCAACACATGCACTCACAGGATTTCGTCAATTAATTTTCACCATTATGTAAAACAGAAATCATCGCATATGTCTTTCGAATTGCCGACAATTTGTTTGCGTTAGCGAACTGTAGAATCTTCGGAATGATAGAAGAATAGCATCGCAGAAGTGACACTAGCGGAAGTAATGATAGAGCGCGCGTTGAGTTAGGCGAAAAAAAATAGACACGGTTTATTCGTTTCGTCTTTATTAGCGATTGGACGTCAGCAAAACAGGAAAGCAAGATGACAATTATTGACAAGAGGAAAAAAAGATCGAATTAACCATATCTCTTTGTTTTTTAGGGGAAGGGGAGGGGCGGCGTGGTCAATCGGGTCGCTGGTAGTAACATGCCGGGTATGCAGGGTCCGGGCCAGCATCTCCAGCAGCAGGACTATCAAGGCCAACAGCAAATGAATCAGCCGTACCAGCAACAGCCGAATCAGCCGTACCAGCAACAACCGAATCAGCCGTACCAGCAGCAGCAGCAACAGCCGAATCAAGGGTACTCGCAGCAATCGTCGCAACAGTTTCAACAATCGCAACCACAGCAGCAAATGGGTCAGATGGGTCAGCCGTTCTCGCAGCAGAATCAACCAGGCGGTCTCGGGATGCAAGGCGGAATGGTCGGCGGTCCTCAAAGCGCTAACAAGCCCATGAGAGGGATACCGGCGGTGCTACCGACGGCGCAGTCCAAGACGCAGCCTAACCCAACGCAGCAACAACAGCAACAGCAGCAGCAACAGAGCACCGGGCCGAACCTAATGCAGAAGTTCACCGAGATGGCGGGTGCAAGCGCAGGCGGCGATATACTCTCCAAGGGAAAGGAGCTGATCTTCATGAAATTTGGATTGGGCAAGTGAGGAGGACCGATCGTTGACGACGTGACGACGATAACAATAATGACGACGCGTTGTCGCGATCGTTTCCGTATCGTTCTTGCGCTCGACGTTCGCATGCGCATAAGTCAATCTCGTCAATCGAGCTGCGTAAATCAGTATTACGACGAACGTCTTTCGACAGCGAAAGATACGCAATCAGGACGCTATCTTGTCGGACGTTGTTGTTGAAGACAAAGAGGACAAGGCGGGGAAGAATGCGCCGCCATTGCTGTTGCTGCTGTTGCTGCTATTGTTGCTACTCGCTATTAATAATCGTTAACTACTACAAAATAAAGAGGAACGTCGCTGGACGAATATAAATCGAGGACAAGTCTCGCGATAAAAAGGAAAGGAGAAAGAACATTTGGTGGAGACTGCTCGAGATGAGAATAAGGTGACCCACGCCGAGAATCGACTGATAATTCCACCGATCGAGAAGAGACAAAAGATACATACAAGATTCATCGAATTTCTTCTTAATCCTCCTTTTCCGAAATCTTCTTCTTCTGCTACTTCGTCTTCTTCTTCGCGCGACGATAGGATCCTCGATCGGTGCTGCGCGGTCCATTGAAGAAATACTTGTCGATTGCTCGTCCGTCGAACCGTCGCGGAATCTCCTAATATACACGAGATAATCAATGTCACGGAATGCTATCTGCGAAATATATTTTGAGCGACGGCGCGCCAAGTCATGTAAATCGCGTATTTTGCGCGAAAGTTTCTTCCAATCTCTTCTCGTCCTCTTCGCGTTATTCGGAGTACCGTTCGGTTTTCAGAATAAAACAGAAAACTTTGTTGCGATGCGGATTGTATCGAGTGTATGTAAGAGAGAGAGAGAGAGAGAGAGGCAGAGAGAGAAAGAGAGAAACGTCCCGCGTTAACATAGATTCTGTATATGCAAAAACGAGTCAATGGCGAAGCGAAGCTAGGCAAACC